CTGATTGAATTTTGATTAGGTATACACATATATCAATATATATATATATATATATATATATATATACTATATTTATTTATATCATGTAATTTTAAATTATTAACGTAAATGAATATCCATTAACGTTACAAATTTATTATTACTCATAATTTCAAGTATGATATCGCTCTGTAACTTATCATTCCTTCAAACTGATCGATTTTCGCAATTTGCAAGCACTTCAATAGTTCTGTAGAATATTTTCGTGTATAAGTGTTATTTTTCCTCTTTATGTCAATATTTATAAAGAAAAAGAAAATTATAACATATGCCTGTATTTTAGATAAATATAAGAGATATCTTATAAACATTTCTCTTGCATGTACTGTACTGTATTTCATTTAAACGTTACTAATGTATATATTTTTAAATTATAATTAAATATTATTATTTAAAAACCACAAAATTTGGAAATTTGGCTTAAAACTGAAAAAAAACTCATGATGATAAAAATAATCATAGTTAAAAATAAGATATGTCACTAGTGTATCAGCAAATTTCGCTAAAAAAATAAGTTATTAGGCTAATTATTAAATGTAAAATATTTTACATTTTTATATATAATTTATATATTTAATTTATTGTGTTTAACCTTCTAACTACAGAATAAAAAACGATTTTAGCCATTTATGAAAGGGGAGTGAGATTTTCATGTATGTCTACTTTAATGAATGGTCATGATCACGCATTATTAGTATTCTTTACTTGGTGATTCGTGCATGTTTTTATGACATGTCTTTAATCATATATCGCACCTGATCAGGTACTTTAAATACATGAAAATCAAATGAATAATACAATTTTCTTAAATAATTTTGTATAATAATAATAATAATAATAGCAAAATATTAATAGCAATACAGCTTATTTATTTTTATGTATAATTTCCTGTTACGAAATTTCAAACGGATATTATTTTTTTTTTCCACCTGCTTATCAGAAATCAGTTTATCTCTGAGTTTCAACTATAAATTTATATTAATAAAAGTGATTGTAGGATAAACACAAATTAATTAAAAGAGAAAATATTACTGAATAACTGCATCATTATCGCTCTCTTTTTTTTTAATGTTTTAATCATCATTTATCTATAATATTTTAATTTATCAATTCCATTTCGTTTATCTTTTAATAGTAAATAGATTATATAATTTTTTCTGTTAATGATTTCATTTAAAATTGATAAATTAAATATCGATAATTCATTATTTTTTCTTCTATTTTCCTATTCTAATTTTTTTTCCTCTGCATTTCTTGGATAAAATGCAATTCTATCTCAATGAGTTTTCGAAAATTTTTATCGTTTATCGATTATATTTTTAATACATAAAAATTTGTTTATATATATATATTCTAATATAAAGAAAAAAGAATTAAAATCAGAGAAAATCAATATTATATATTTAAGCCCATTTCAACATATTTGTTCATTCTATTCAAATATACTGTATATATACCCACATATATATATTTGAATAACAATATAAAATGAATAAATATATCTATTGTACAAATTTAAATTTCAAGATTTATATAGTGATCATAACTATTTTTAGTTCTTTTTTTTTATTATTGTAGTTTAGCAATAGAATATAAATTTCTTACATTTTATTGCCAAACTATAAAAGATATTACAGTTACTGTTATGACATAGAATAAATAACATAGACATAGATTTCACATGTAAAAAATTTTAAATCAGAACTATTTAAAATAATTTAAATAAAATATCTTTTAAATACAGTTTTTTTAATGAGATTATATTATGCTTTTTTATTATTTATTTATTTAGCATTTTTTAATATTACATAAAGACAACTACAGCAATTAGGAAAGTCACAATTAGATAGAAACTATTTTTAATGTTGTTTTTAATCAAAATTATTTGTAATAATTTGATGATGAAACATAATAGATAACATTACCTTATAATAAATTTTATAATTTCTATATAGCATATTAATTAAATTTGTGTAAATATTATATAATTTTTTTATAATTAAACTTATATTGATTAAGTTTATCATTTTTATAAAATTAGATTATTTTTTAAATTAAAATATAATTGATTTTAATTCAAAAATATATTAATTTTATTTCAAAATTAATTATACTTATACATTTTGAGAAGCAAAAACACTCTCAGTACAATTTATAGCATAGTATTATATATTAATTTTTTTATTACTATTTAACTTTATCGCTTTAATTCCGTAAAAGAATAAAAGAATATTGTTTTTTTGTCATTTAATTTTATATCATTCGTGTTCACATAGTCATTTTAATGTTTCTTTTAACACGTATGTCACGCGGTATTTTTTTCCTACACAACTTTTATAATGTCGATTTAATCTATGCCAATTGACAGATGGTAATTTTCGCAATAGAGCACAACTTAAATTACTAGAAAATTTTTAACTGGAGACCTTTTATTATTATTATTATTATTATTATTATTATTAAATTG